GTCCACATTCAGGTGTCTTAGGTGGTCTCAGCCCTGATGTTCTTCCCCAGTGGGCCGCTCTTCATTCTCCCAGACCATGGCTTTGCCTTCTGTGGCTTGGGTGGTGAGGCCTGAGCACTTGCCTGTGAAGACTGAGGCAAAAAAGTTATTGAGTACCTCAGCCTTCTCCTCGTCTGTTGTTATCAGTTTGCCAGTTGTGTTCATCAGGGGGGAACACTTTCTTTGACCTTCCTTTTCTAGCTGACATACCTGTAGAAGCCCTTCTTATTAATCTTTGTGTCCCTTGCCAAGTTCAGCTCCAGCTGTGCCTTGGCCTTCCTGACCATCCCTACACAACCAGGCAACGTCCCTGTACTTTTCCCAGGATACCTGTCCCTGCTTCCACTGCCTGTGCATTTCCTTCTTGCCATTTAGTTTGACCAGCAGGTCTCGACTCAGCCATGCCAGACTCTTGCCTTCCTTTCCTGATTTCTTACACCTGGGGATCAAGAGCTCTCACATTCTATGGAAAGAGCCCTTAAAGACCTGCCAGCTCTCTTCTGCTCCCTTGTCCTTGAGGGCAGTTTCCCAGGCAGTTCCATTGACGAACTCCTTGAAGAGCTGGGAGTTTTCTGTCCTAAAACTCAGGGTCCTGACTTTACTCTTTGCCTGACCCATAAGCCTCAGGACTGTGAACTCCACCCATGCATGGTCACTGCAGCCCAGGCTGCCTCCAGTCTTGACGTCTCTGATTAGCTCACTTGCGTTGGTGACCATCAGGTCCAGTATCGCATCCCCTCTGGTAGGGCTGTCTATTACCTGGCTTAAGAAGTTATCCTCAATGCATTCCAGGAGTGTCCTGGTTTGCCTACAGCTCACCGTGTTACTTTTCCAGCAGATGTCGAGGTGGTTGAAGTCCCCAGTCAAAATGCACTTTATAAATACTAAACTTTATTAGAAGAAAGTATTCTTGTTTGCCTTCTATTATTTGAGTTAATAGATTTTCATCTTCTTGTGCCTCATTTCGATGCACAGATTAGAAAAAGGAAATGTTTCCTGCTTTTTTCAGATCCCAGTTGATTTCTCAGCTTTGAGTGAGCCAGTGAATGAATTGCATTAGCATTATAAACTTAAAGAGATTCTGTGCATCTGCAGAAGACTATACAACAGTTAAGAGCAGGTTTAGCACTTCAGCAAGTTGCAGTTCTTGGTTCTTAGCCAAACAACTGCACTGAGATAGTGGCTGATTTTTTTTCTCAGTAAACAGCAGTGGTTAAATTTTGTCAGTAAACAGCACTACTTTAAAATTCATTTTATAAAAAGCTTTAGTATGTTCTAGTATGTTTAGTTTGTAAAATAGGTTGCCATCATTCTTAAATTGTGTATTATTGATAGATTTGTTTTTATATTGTTTTAAATTTAGCATGAGCTTATTTGAATATTTAAAAGAGCACCATAAAACTGAAAATCTAAATCTGCAGTGCTGTAGAAGGCAAGTTTGTTTGCGGGCAGTTTGTTATGCAAAAACTGAACATTTGCACCTTTGCTTCTGCCAACTTGATATTGCGCCTTTTGGTTTGCCATGCATTCACTTAGTGTGTGAAGTGAGAGTTACAGAAATGTTTTAAGAACTTAACATTAAGGAGTGAAGCAGACCCATATCAACAGTTATTTTTTATTTTACTTTTTTTACATTTTGCTGGTAACTTGGGATTAAGCTGTTGGTCCCCAAAACACAATTTTTCATACAGGAGAGAAGTGTAGATTTCTTAAAAGCCATTTTTTGTTCCTCAGAGGTTTGAGTGCTGCCTCTTGACTCTGCATGCAGCTGTGCTGTGAGAACTAGTGACAGCACAGGGTATTTTCTGTGAAAAGTGGAGTCGGTGCATGTATTTCTAAAGGAGTGATTTAGCTCTTCATAGCAGAAGTTTACTAATGAGGAGTAAACTTTAACTGAAGTCAGAGAATCTACTTCTTTTGTATCAACCTAAAGTTT